CAAAAAACAAAAAACCCAGATCAAATCATACACCAAATTGCCCAAATCCCAATTTTTTCAAGAAACAGCCTCAAAATGAAGAAGAAAAAAAGGGTTTTTTTGGGGTTTAAAGATATGAAATTCTTGAAGTGGACAGTGAAGAGATGAAAAGAGAAGAAGAAGAAGGTGGGTGTGGAGAGGGAAAAAAGTGGGGGAGAAGAGTAATTGCAGAGCGTATTGAGAGGGTGGGATGGCATTTAATGGTGGCTGGAGGAGGCGTAATTGCAATTTCTCTTCACACACACATATATTAACGAAAAATAAAATAATTTTTAAAATTTTAAATTTAAAAAAAAAAATTAAAATTTTAAAAATTTATAATTCTGCCCTAGGAGAGAGCTTGAGTGCAATGAATGACGGCTACCAAACAAGCCCTAATAAAAATTTTATTTTATTTATTATTTGGAAACTTTTTAACATTCCAATTTCTACCTAATTATCGTCTTAAAAAAAAAGTCTCCTCAAGGGAATTTTAAAAATTTTAAATTATTTATAAAAATAAATTCATATTTTATTAAGGTTTGTTTGCAATGTTTATCACAAACCCTAATTAGGAAATAAAATTATAGAAAAAAAAATGATCTCTCACAAATAAAAGGGAATTTAATTAACATTCCATTTATTGCATAAGATACCATAAATATTGGATGCATGCGTTTTCATCTGTTTTTAATTTTTGTTCACAATTTAGATTTTTAATTATTTTTTTTTAATTTTAAAAATAATTTTAGTGTTTGAGCCATAATAACTGATTACAATATTTTCAGGTGGTTTTTATTGGATGGTTGTAATAAACGAAGGACACACTGCTAATCTTTATTAAGGGTTTTGGGTATTAAACCAATGGAGATTTGATATCATTATTATCAAACTATACTAATGGAGAATTGGGATTTAAAGAATTTGGTTGTTTTTATGATTTATGAGAGAAAATTGGTACTTTCTCGGACGAAAACCATCAAAAAGCTTGTAAATTAGGTCGATGCGAGCGTGATTTTGAAATATTAGTATCTCTCGATTTCATAGATTTAAAAACAAAACTTATGGAACGTCTTATGAATCATAGAGTTAAAAATTGAGTATAAGTGTGAGATCTCACCCATATTTGAAAGCGGTGAACTTGAGGAAAAACATGAAAGGGAAAAGTACATATCGGTTGGCAGTGGACTTGGACAGTTATAATAAGCATCCCAACCATTTCTACCCATCCATTCTTACAAAATAATAATAATAATAATAATAAATATATATATATATATATATATATATATATATATATATATATATATATATATATATATATATAGATGGTCATTTTCTAATGATGGGAGCTAAATTGAGGTTTAAATTGATAATTAATGTATTTTAAAACTTAATCATATACATTTAATTATAGTGTAATTTCTAAACAAATATTCCCTATATATATGGTTAATAACTAAAAAAAAGTTATTAATGTATATGTGGTTAAAAAATTGAAATAAATTCTATTCAATTATATATTTGTTTTTTATATATATTAAAAAAAATTAATTTTTTTATTATTTTCATTAATTTTTTTTTATCTTTCAAAAGTTTTGAAAATATGATTAACTTCTCTAATTAAATGTTTTATCTAAATCTAAATGATAGTTTGGTGGTTCTCCAAATTTATTAAAATATTTTATTTTTTTAAATAAAATAAACAAAAAAAAAAAAAAAGTTCCATGCAATGCAACAAGAGTTCTTCATCTTGCATGTACTCAACGTGTAATGTGTAATTAGGTTGACAATTTCTAAACATTTATTATTATTATTATTATTATTATTATTATTATTATTATTATTATCAATGACGATAATGAAATAATATATTTGAAAAAAATACCAATAGTCATAAGATATATATGTTTCTAAATATTTATCGGAATGGTGGAACTAGCAAAAGTGATGGCGTTACTTGCAGCACTAACACCTTTAAAACTGTTAATATGACTGTTCATGTGAGATTTTATATTGATTGGAAACTGCAACGAAAAATTGTTTATAAGAGTGTGGAAATCATGAGGATGAGGATGATACATAACGGGTCAAAACAGACAATATTTGTTAGCGGTGAGTTCAAACTTGTTACAAATGGTATCAAAGGTAAACACTGGACGGTGTGCCAACGAGGACGTTGGCCTCCAAGGAGGTGAATTGTGAGATCCCACATCGGTTAGAGAGGGAAACGAAACATTTCTTATAGGATGTGAAAACCTCTCCCTCGTATACGCGTTTTAAAATCGTGATATTACCGGCAATACATATCGAACAAAACAGACAATATCTATGAACGATGAATTTAGACCGTCATACTGAAATTACCATCAAACCCAAACCCAATTATAACAGGTTGTTATAATGTATAAATATTTTTTTGTCCTTGAACAAGTTGACTTTTCTTTTTGGCAAAACTATTTAAAATAATAATAATAATAAATAAGCAAATCCAAATTGAGAAGGAATTATCGAATTGAAGGTCCACGTAGGACCATGCAAGTTGACTTATTGAAATTACTTAAAATATTTATAAAAATAACAATAAAAAAATTGGATTTTGGTGTAAAATGTCAAATCAAGAAGACTTTACACTGTTCACGAGTTTTCTGATTTGACAAATGGGGGACACACCTTCAATCACGCCATCTTATTCAACACTAAATTTTTTAAATATTTTTAATAATTAAAAAATTAACAGAAATATACAAAATTCTTAAATTTATTTTCCCACGTGGCATTTTTATTTATTGGTCTCCGTGGGTTTGTTCCTCTAGCTAACTGCCCATTAAAATATTCCCATTATATTTATTCAACAATTCACCAAAAAAAAAAAAATATAAATAAATATTAATGACTAAATTAATTTGATTATTAGTTTAATATTTATTAATACAAAAATAAATAATATTAAAATAATGTCACCTATTTGACCTCGTCGTCACTGAATTCAAGTCCAAGAAAACGCACAGCAGAATAAAGGGAGGAGTTCTTCCTTTAGTTAACCGAGTCTTTGAAGAAGTCTAAATTCCTAAGCAATCTGACACGTGGATTTGGTAGTGGGCCCGAGGGGATGACGTGGGCTGACTTTGTTGTGACGTTATCGAATGCAAAGGAAAGTTGTTACGATCGTGGCCCTTGTTTTTCTCTCTGACTGGCTGCTGGCCGTTGATTTGACTGTCGTTGTCAGCTTGATTAAATGTTTTCGTTGTCGTTTTGTTGTGAGAGGCACGCGCTTGAATTGGCGGTTGTTTTGACCGAGTCAAATGCGGAAAATTGGGTCAACGTTGGCTTTTGTGTTGTAGTGACGCAATCGCGTTGGATAGTTTCGACGCTATCGGCAACGGTTGAATGTCTTCCTCTAATTTACTTGAAATATTTTTATTAATTATTTATTTAAAAATGTGTACATATTTTCAGCCGTTGGATTATTAAGTGATCAACTCTTCTTCCTTTAAAGTCTTTTATAATGTGGTACGATGGCCTTTTATTGAAGGATTTGTGTTTAGTGTCTATTATGATATGCTATTGTTTCCAAGTTTTCGCTCGAATCCATTTGCGATTGACTCTCTATGCTAAATTATACTTTTCTGAGTTAACGAGAGGGGTCGACGACTTTCAAGAAGATCATCATCTTGAATGTAAAATCCCACGTCGGTTGGTGAGGAAATGAAATATTTCTTATAAAGGTGTGTAAACGTCTCCTTAACAGATGTGTTTTAAAACCTTGAGGGGGAAGCCCAGAAAGGAAAGCCCAAAGAGAATAACTAACGGTGGACTATAGTCGTTCCATATGATATCAAAGTCAAACACCAAGCGGTGTGCCAACGAGTGCACTGGGCCTCCAAGGAGGGTGGATTGTGAGATCCCACATTGGATGAGAGGGGAATCAAGCATTCCATATAATGGTACGACACTGGGCCCTCAAAGGAGGGTGAATTGTGAGATCCCACATTTGTTGGAGAGGGGAACGAAGCATTCCACATAAGGGTGTAAAAACCTCTTCCTAAACGACGCATTTTGAAACCTTGAGAAGAAGTTCGAAAGGGAAAGCTCAAAGACGATATCTATTAGTAGTGGGCTAGAGTCGTTACATGAGTCTCTTAAAACATGCTAACTTTCTAATGCATTTTTCTCTTATCCCACTCGGACCCCACCACAACCGAGCTCACGTCGGATTAATATCATCATAAATGTTTGAGGGAGGGCAAAGTAGCTCATTGTATAGTCAAGGATAGCTTGTGCTATAAATATGATGAGTACTTTCTTGCCTCCCAACGTAAATAACGTACTTCTTTCCACGCATGAAGAGCTCTCTAGACCTTGTCCCTCACGTTCTTATACATCCCATTTATGTTTCTTCATGTTTGAGAAGACATGACTAGGGACTGTCCCAAAGAATCAATTAAGAAGAGGTTGAATTTATTGACGTGAAAACCAATTAGATTACATATAAATTCTTCTCTATTTGGAAGAGTGACGTACCATTTAGAACGTTTTTCATTCTATACATAATTTAATAACCGACACTGATACGTGCTGGCACTCAATTAGTCGCGTTAGGTAAGCTTTCAATCCCTTCTCCTTTATAGTCGAGCAGCTCAATGTTTATGGCGTTTTAGTCACTTTTCAATGGCTCCCTTAATTTTGTGCGAGGAATTACACTCGTTGAGTAATGGGAAGTGGGCTAGTCCTTGAAAATGCCCGTCCTATGGGCAAGAAGTCTACTAGAAGGCCCAAAATCTCTTAATAGTTTTTAAAATATTCAATTTTAAATCATCAATATGATAAATACCAACACCAAATGTGGCGGGCAATAAAGTAGGGATCATCAAAACACCAAACCATCCAATGTAAAGACGGCTTTCAATGATGGTGATCCTGTTACAAAAGCGATGCATAAGCTTTCGTTTCTGCGTCTCTAAAATTTAGCCATGGTAAAATCAAAAAAAGGATTAATACCATTCATGTAATTCGATTCGGTTTAACTCAATTTTATTCTTAAAACGATCAAATATTGAACCACTACCACTCATACAATGAAAGACTACTAGAAGGTTAAAAGAGAGAGTTGCACCATTACCTAAAGAACCAACATCCTCAGTCCGACAATGTGATACGCTCAGTCGGGACAGACCATTGGCGATCTAGGATGGCACTTCAAGCCCTCTTTTTCCTGCCATTTGATGGTCTGGGTCCGTTGATCGGAGCCTTGCTCGAGCATGGCACGAGCCCGCGTAGCGTGGCCAACACCCCCAAACCCATGAAGGGCCAGTAGATTGTCAACAGAGTATTAGATGCCCGGTTTGATCCAACCACTTCACCCATCGTAGCAGACTGAAATTACACAGCCAGATAATGTGATTCAATACAAGTAAAATTTCTCTGAAAGAGATGACATAGAAACTAGCGGATCTCCGCAAGAAGGTTAACAAACGAAGCAGAAAAATCCTTTTTATCTTGCAGTTAGCTATCTCAAATGCACCATTTAAAGCCAAAAGCCTGATGTTGAATCCTTAGTTTATTGACAAGAATGCAGTTCCCAAGCTAGTTCAATACTAGCTTATGAAAAAAAAAAACATCATACAAAGCTATCCCACCTAACTATCACTTCGATTAGGTCAACCCGAGCATTATTCAGCTAGTTAAAGCACATACTGTTGGTACAGGAATCCACATCGGCTAATTAAGGGGTTGATCATGGGTTTATAAGTAAAGAATACATCTACATTGGTATGAGTCATTTTGGGAAACTAAAACAAAACCACGAGAGTTTGTGCTCAATGTGGACAATATCATACCACTGTGGAGGTTTGTGGTTTCTAACATAGTATCAGAGTCCATGCCCTTTAATTTAGTCATATCAATAGAATCCTCAAATGTCGAAGAAAGAAGTTGTGAGTCTCTAAGGTGTAGTCAAAAGTGACTCAAGTGTTGAACAAAGGGTGTAATTTGTTTGAGTGCTCCAGAACAGGAGTCGAGTCTCAATTAAGGGGAGGTAGTTTGAGGGCTCCATAGGTCTCAGAAGAGGCTCTATGATGTACTTTGTTCAATGAGAGGGATTGTTCGGAGATGAGTGCCACATCGGCTAATTAAGGAGCTGATCATGAGTTTATAAGTAAGAAATACAGCGACAAAAAACAAAACCATGAGAGTTTATGCTCAAAATGTACAATATCATACTATTGTGGAGATGTGTGATTCCTAACACATACCGTCAACCAAGAGATTACATGATTGAATCCTGGTCTCCATATTATTGAACTTAAAATCAAAAATGAAACCAAAACTTCTATCAGCATCATCAACTACATAAATCAAGAATCTAGAAATGACATTCTTCTAAAAATGTTCTAGAAAAGCTGAAGAACAACCAAGTTATGTATATTGAATCTCTACAAGACTGGAATAAACTCTACTAACTTCAAATTTGTCCAAGGTTCCTCACTATTAACTCCACAAATCCATCGTCCACTCCGCCAAATGCTTAAACATATCCAAAATCCTCTCCCTACTCAATCCTAACCTAAAATAGATACATTCAATCAAACAAAGATAAAATCAACAGGCTATGAACAAATTCCATCAATCAAAAACCAAATTAATCCGAACATGAACAGAAAAATACCATGGAAGACACGAGAGAAACGCCATAGATCAAGCAAGTGGTCTTGTACCAAGCCTTGGAGCTCAAGAAGGCATAGAGATTGAGAAACAAGAGAGGCCATTGAAAAAGAAGCTCGAACCAAATAAGGCCAACGACGAAATGAGGAGCCTCGGCCATTAAATAATCCCCCGATTGGGCGACGTACCATCTCTTGAGATCGATTACAAAATCAGGATAAAAGCTTTTAGGGAATACCTCCTGGAAATCGATTAAAGGCACTACAACTGCAAGTAGGAGAAAGGCGAGGAACAGTAGAACGTCAACGAGCTTGAGAAGAGCGCCCATGGTTCCACAGAGCTTTCTTCCCAGAGTCTCTGAGCAGAGCAATTGATCGGATCTTGGGCTGGGCTGCTCAATTTTCAAGGCTATTTTTATAGTTGAATTTTTTTCTTTTTTAAATGGAAGTGTTTTTATTTTTTTTATTGAGCTTAACCATGGTTGAGTCAAAATGGAACCATCCATGGTTAAGATAATAATAGGCGATTAATCTCCTTTACTCTACTACAATAATGGAACCATTGACATAAATAAATTCCACGTGATCCACGTGGCTGCAATGAGGACAAGGTAAATCCTACATGTTCATAGCACTCTTGTCTTAAATATTAAGCCTAACATGTTTTTTTCATATGACAGATATACCACTCTTATTATATACTTACAATATACAATTTTTATTATAAATATTGAAAGATATTTATTAATGATATAAATTAATAGATTGTAATTATAAATGCGAAGGCTATTAATTAGCAATAGAAAACAAATTAATTCGTAGAGTGTCGATGACCGCTGGACAATCACTTCTCAACCTACCGTCACCATTTGTTTTTTACCCAACTAAAGCTGGAGTTGATGTCGAGGTAAATTATGTAAGATTCCGTTACTTTTGTGAACCACGAGTCTCATAGAGAGTTGTTAGAACATTTTCAACTTTGTACCAATGGGCGACACATAATGTGTCATTGTTAACAGTACAAGAAGATTGGTTACATGACAATGTTCGTACCTAGCTAGTTTTTATTGGGCTCGACGTTGTCCGTGACTTCACCTTGATGTACTTAGTGTCACAATCGACGATGGGTCCATGAGTATGCAGTACTTGTTATAACCTAGCGAACAGGTTAGTCGTGTAAAATTCATATTTTGCAGATAATATTAGTGTATGCTTGAGACTCGATTCACGTTTGAGAGAAATGGTTTAGAAAATTTTTAAGAAAGTAATGTTATAGGCTAAAAGAAAATAAGTAACAATCACAACTTTGATAACATAAAATCCAGGTATGAAGAATTGACAACTAATCACATCCTCATATAGTATATTTTCGAGAATTTTAGCCATAGCTGACATATGCATGATTTTGGTGACTGGTCATACACTCCTATGTTAACGCAACAAGAATAGCATAAAGCTATCTAATGCAAAAGCAACTAAAAAGGATTTGGAATGGGCATGCAGGCATGAACAACACGTACTGAACAAACATGATCGGGACATCCGATACATGACTACAAACAATATGTTTTTAACAAACATAACCATGAGACTCAGCTTCAAACATTTTACGTGATTAAACAACAAAGATAACAATACACATGTTCGAAAGGGCATTATCAATCTATAACAAAATTAATAATAATAATAATTTTTAAAATTTTTTTTAGGGTTCATATAGTCTTTTTTTTTTTAAAAAAAATAAAAATAAATTTGATGAAAATGAAATAAAGACGAAGGTTTAATTTGAAAACCTAAGACGACGTCGTTTGCGCAAGTTCGCAGCTAAGTGGAATTTGATGCCTGTGAAACAGATCGCCTCGTAGGCATTGCTGCGAAGAGTCTGAAATTGAATCGAGTATATATTTCCCTTGCCGGTGTGCACTGCTCATAATTTTCTGTCCGAGAGAGAAGATGAGCGAGGCAAGGCCTGTGAAAAGGAGAGAAAGTCCATGGGGGATGCCTGAGGGCGAGGATCGCCAGCCTAAGGCTCACAGATGCAACGACAGAGCGGAGGATGTCATTCAAGTAAAGTTTCATTTCTTTGTAGTTTCTATGTTCATCAGCATTGCTTGCTTCTTTTTCCACATAATTTCATCTAGTCTTCTTCTTGCTCTTTAATTTCTTGTTTATTCCGATTTCGATTTGTTTCTAATGAACTGATTTGAGAAATGAATATCGAAGTGATTCCGGAGTTTGTCGTCGTTAGGTAGGATGCGATTTATTTCAACGATCGTTTGTGTCGATAATGAAGCATTTTCTTCGATGTTCAGTTTCCTGATGGATTTGGATTATTATGTGTTTTTCCTGGGGGTTTTGGTTGTACGTGGTATCGTTGATAAGTTTGGGAGTAAATTTGAGAAGTCGGAAGCAGGATGGATTTAGCGACTAGTATCTTAGAAATTATGGCCATTAGGAACTAGGAGCATAAGAGCATCACGTTTACGTTGACAGCAAAATTTCCGGAAAGATAATTGCAGTATTTTGGATAGCAGTGAGGTTTATTTGTTAAATCTTTGGACGAAGCGAATGGTCAAGGAGATCGGAACGTGTGCGATGACTGAAAATAGTTATTCTGTTGAATTTCTTTTGTCATTTGAACACTCTGAATTTTATTCTCAAAGTAAAGCTTTCAACGCAATGTTCCTCTTAAGTCTTTCTATAATGAGTTATATATTCTGGAAGAAAAGGAGAAATTAGAACTCCCGTTTGCCTCACGTATGTGCTTTCACCTCCAACAGGAAAGTTCACAAATGTATTTGGCTGGAGAATATGACCTCCAATACTAATGTTTGGTTTTCGTTTTTGTAGTGCATGGAAATGTAAAAGATGATTATAGAGTTGAGGATTTCATGTATGGTTTAGATCGGATATTCAATAACTAAAACTATAATGTTCTCTGGAATTTCATTAGCATTTAATTCATCATCGCTACAATAGTCTATCGTATTGCCAAGTAAGTTACTATGTCAAATACTTTTGAGTTTTGAATCGGCTGTAATTTTTCAATATTTGTCTGTCTTCAATTATTTATTGTTGGAGGTTCTGGAGAAAAAAGAAAAAAACAATAGCTCTCACGAGGAAAATGTTTACTGAAATTCTTTACTTTTCCTTTGTCAATTGTTGTATTTCCTCATGTTCATTTTTTCCTGTTGTAACGGTGTTTTGGCAAGACAAGAGCCTTGTCTTGCTAAAACACCTTAGCCAGCTTGATTCGTAAGCGTTAGTTCCCTACTATTCTCAAGAACTTGACTACAAACAAAGATTCAATGCACATAGGTTTACCTCATAAGAAGAGAACTAACTATTTTAAAAGGTCAACACGCCTTTTGCATCCCTGCAGATCCACAATCTCAAATTCTCCACTAGGATACTAGTTAAACCCAAAACCCTTCTCTTAGGAAGATTGATTGGAAAACCAGACGACAGTGCAAAAGGCTTGACTAGGTTTAGAAGATTCATCACTTTTAGCTTTGTTTTGTGGAGAATAAGGAAATTTTTTTTAATGGAATAATAGGATTTAAGATCTACTTTGGAAACCAATTCTTTCTCTTGTCACCTTTTCTTGCCAACAACTTCATTAGTTATGAGAATAACGATTGACAATTGGTCTACCATAGATAAACGCTGATTTCGTAACTAACTTGGTGCAAGTGTGGATTTCTTTCAATCCCTCTTTTAACGCTTTAGCAAAAATGTCATTGACACGAGTGGTTAAGCTGATTGGTTGGCTTGGTAACAGTAACATATACAATATTGTCTCTTCTGGTGACCATACTTAAGATGTTTCATAAAAAGCTAATTGTAACACTAGCAATTTCCATAATAATTAGCATTTGGAACACTCCAGAAAATCAGAAATGTTTCACTTCCTTTTTTGCAGACTTGAACCGAAAAACCATCAAATTTGAACTCATATAAGAAAATGCAGCACTAGCTTCCTCTTCTAAGTATGATATTTCTTATCAATTTTTGTTGAGCTAGAGCTCCACTGCCACTTTAATGGCCTGACCCAGTAGACATGAATCTGGAACCCTGTTTAGAGGAGAATAGCCTCCCATGAAAGAGATAAGCTCATAGGTAATTGCACTCTCATTCACAAGGCTTGATCAGATTCGTTTGAGGGGATATAAAAAATAAGGTTCTTCCTCCGGTTAATAACGTTATGGAATAAAGCATAGTTTATTTATTTCGGCTTGCATTTCTGTAGCCAAATCATAGTTTATTTCGGTTTGAAGAAGTTGAGAAAGAAGAAAGAGGGAGTGTGATAAAACCTTTTTTTTTTTTTTTTTTTTTGAATTTCTCAACCTAGGTACATGCCAGTTCAGTGAGGTTATCTTGCATGTACAAGAATGACCCCAACAATAGATTATATTCCAATGAAATGTTTCCTCTTCAAGTTTTTGATTCTTTTTATTTTTTTTGGTGGAGGCTGTATGAAGGTGGTGGAATATCCTGGATGACACTGATTATTGTTTTGTTCTTATTGTAGGCTTGTTTTGAGGGGAACCCATTTAAGACTGTTCCAGGGCCATTCAAGCTTTTCTGGCAATGCATGCGTTCGAAACCTGGGTATGATTGTACCTTATCAGTTCTCTTTTGTTTATTTTCAAGATAGATTCATTCATTCGTCAGTATGAGGACTTAGCTTTACTTTTCAAGAAACCTCGCTATGGAATTGGAAGAATGATCAAATCTTTCACCCGCTGGGTTTGAGTGTAGATAATTGAGACCCATAAAGATGAAATCTTGATCTTGAGTACCTTGCCCTTTCTGTTCGTATCCTTCATTCATGCCCTGCCATGTCTGAAATGTTGTGAGCTAATGGAGTCGCTTCTCAAAGTCTTCAACCGTTTTGAACTCATCAAATTTGTAAGAACAGTTTCTGAAAATAGTTTTTAGTGGAATCGAGAATAGAGACGACACGTTAAGCATAGTAGTGATAAACGATAAGGCACGTGAATTTGATCGAGAAATGATTGTTTTATTTTCCATCATCCGAACTTTCCTTTTAGTTATCTCATAAATTGGACACTATTCCTACGTTTTTAGCCTGATAAACAAAGGAAGTTGGAGAAAATTCATTTGGCGTTGATAATAATGTTAATAAAACGCTACTCTCATATGTTATGGGGATCATGTGATTTCGTTTTGCAGGGAGGAACCAACGGAGCCATATACATATTTGGACTTGGATCCTCCAAAGAGAGAGGTGAAACTCGAGTAAGAACTCACTACGCATACTTTTAATTCATGAATGTTAGATTTTCAGTTTTGATATTTGTCTCTTGTGAATTTTAAATCAGAACTCAGACGGTAGGTCATGCATTTAAATGGTTGATAGGAAAACGGCAATAATGATTACCGTGAAATAGCTCTGTGAGCTTTTCAACATTATTGAATATGACAGAATTGGGTACTGAGTGTTTTTATTTTTGTCACATCGTACGACATTTTACAGCTAGCATAATAAGTAGCTGATAAGAAGAAACTTTGAGTAACCCAATTCATTAACTCCCGTAGACTAGATATTGTTCTCTTTGAACTTCTTTTCTAAAAGGTTTTAAAACACGTCTGTTAGGGAGAGCTTTCCACACCTTTATAAAAATTGTTTTGTTTTCCTCTCCCAACCGAGGTGAAATCTCACAATCCACTTCTCTTCGAGGCTCAGTGTCCTCGCTGGCACTCGTTTCTTTCTCCAATCGATGTGGGACCCCTCAATCCACCCTCCTCCAATGTCTAGCGTCCTTGCTGGTACATTGTCCGGTGTCTGACTCTTATATCATTTGTAACGGTCCAAGCTCACCGCTAATAGATATTATCCTCTTTGGGCTTTCATTTTCGAGCTTCTTAAGCTTTTAAAACGTGTTTGATAGGGAGAGGTTTTCATACCCGTATAAAGAATGTTTCGTTCTCCTTCCCTTCCCAATATCGATCGATATGGTATCTTACACTTTTTTCAAAAAAAAAAAAAAAACACAACAATAATAATAATAATAAATAAATAAATACATACAGTGACCTGAGAACTTTAAATTAAAGCCCTTTTACGTTTTTTATTATTTATTTATTTATTTATTATTATTATTCTTATTATTTTGATTGGTTTCTGAAAAAATGGGAAGTTTTCATCGGTTTTTGACCTACTTATGTTTAATTTTTCAATTTGGCCCATGAGTTGATTGTTTAATCTCCAATTTGACCCATGACTTTTTGTTTAATTTCTTATTTGACCTTTGACCCATGATTTGTGTTTTATTTCCAACTTGACCCATGGACTTGTTTGTTTCTTCTCTTATTTGATCCATGACTTGATTGTTTAATAGTCTTTCCATACTATTGTATGCTGGAAACACCGTTGATAAACTTGGGACCACACACCTACCACTTTACCAGAAGTGAACGATGAGTATAAATCTTCGCGAGGTAAAAAGGAATGAGTTGTCAATTGAAAGTTTAAACTTCTAGTACACAGAATTTATCTAACTTCTTATTTTTAAAAATTTGGATTCAACTTTTTCTGATTAACAGTGAAGATGTCAAATTTCATTTTTAAAATTCACACCATTTTTTTTTTCCTTGGACGATATTTTTGTCATTTTTACAGGGGCATTGGTCATTTTCAGATATATATATTGACCATCTTTATAAAGCTCATTAATTCTTGGTTTTTTTTTCCTTTTTTTTTTTTTTTGTTCTTTTAATGTTAAGGTCCTATATTTAAGTTTTTTGGTTTAAAATCTTTTGGCTTTTAGGTTTAGAATAATCCATGAGAGATATTAAAACAAGAAAAGTTTTTAGAAATAGCTAATGGTTACCCTTTTAAAAATGAAAGAAAATGGCCAATAGTACTCATTTGAAATGATGAAGAATGGTAAATGATACCCCATTAAAAATGTGATAAGTGACCAATAATTTCCCTTTTAGAATGAAGAAATTTTGGCTCAGAAAAACTTTTGAAAATGTTGGATCAAATATATCAAACTTTAACATCTTCACTATGGAATTGACAAATTTTCATTGTAACTTAGTTTTTTTACCGCTTGATTTCAATAATTTGTTTAGTGGTTTCTCGTTTTTGTTTTTTACTTTTTTTTGGTTTGTGTTAAAAGTCGTATATTTAAGTATTTTAATCTTTTGGGATTTATGATTTATAACTATCACTTATGGTACTCCTTTAAAATGACGAAAATGACCAATGGTTTCTTTTTAAAAAATGAAAAACATGTGGCCAAAGAAATTTTTTTGGAACTTGTTTCTTACCAAAAATATGGGTCAGTTCACTTTATCGTCCTAGACTATGACACTAACATATTTGGATCATAACTTTTTTTCTTTCATCATGTTCTTTCAATGTTCCATTTAGTGCTTTCTTATTTTTTTTGGGCGTTAAATAAGCATTATGGTTTTAGATAATTGGGTCTTGGGTTTATAACCATCTCTGAGCAATATACTCGTTAAAACGAGAAATGAGTTTTTTTAGAAATTAGTACCTAACCAATATTCCTCTTTTAAAAAATAAAGAAAAAATGGTATGGAAAAAAAAAAAAAAAAAACTTTTGTAACATGATTGTTATCGGAAAAAGATAAGTTAAATTCATTAAACTTGATCATATTCGACTATGAAATTGGCAAATTCTAATCGTTTTTTTTTTTCACAGCGAGCTTTCAATCATTAATGAATAAGCTGTTTTCTTTTTCAAAATTTTTATATCTAAGTTTTATTTTTTATTTTAGGTGTGAAAAATCTTCTAGAACATACTAGGAAAATAAAACAAGAATTTTTTAAAAAATGAACAATGGTACCTCTTCGTTCACAAATTATTATTATTTTATTTATTTTACGGAATGTATTCAATTTAACATGACATTCAACAATACATACATGAATAAGCACATATTTTGGAATATATAATCTTAGTAACATAACATATGCATGTTTTTTAGCACAAAAATATATTAATATCTATTTATCCAACAAATTGCGACATTTGGACTCTTGACTTGCCGCGGTAAAAAAAAAGGACAGACAGATGAAAAATATATTATGCCCAACAAAAGTGATTAGGTACCACACAATTATTAAGAAATTTTTGATAGAAGGTAACTCAAATCTATTTAAGGGGAGAAATTCCAGAAATTCAAAGACAAATTTCTATTTACATCCAAAATGAAAACTTTAATTTAGAGAAAAGTCGAACTAAAAGTAACATATGCATCTCATTCTATGCATTATTAAAAGTGAAAATCAGCATCATTGTGTTTATTACGAGAACACCCTTACAAGACATCTTTATTGTGATTAAAGAAAAAGTCTAAGATGGACAACCAAAGTAAATTCTTTGATTTACAGGAGAGGTCTAATTGGCTCGCTTTTCCTTTTTCTTTTAAGACGTTTAATTGACTCTCTAACTATTATTATTTTATAGCTTAATTATAATCAATTTATAAAGCCTGAATTATGAACTTAGGGCATAATACTTTTTAATTTGTAACCATTTAAATTTTATATTAATTCTTTTCCTAACAAATATAGATTGATAAGCTAAATAGTAACAAAATATATTTATAAACTTAAAAAAATTAAGTAGAAATTAAATTAGCTAAAAAATAAATGGCCAAATTCAGAGATGAGATGCAAGCTTCCATAAAAGGACTAAGAACACACATGAAATTATATATTTTTAAAAAAACAAACAAATATTAACCATTTAATATAATAAGGAGAAAAATAAAACAAATATAGATATTTAGAAACTGAAATAAGATTTAACCAACACGAAGCAGGGGTACTATGGAGGTTTCATAAGCGAGAAAGGTTGTTTTCGTCATTTTAGATTTGGATAGTCACCTCTCACACCAGGCCATTCAAGTGGTTCTGTCAAACTTAAAGTGTTCACTTAAATAGCCTATCACTTCCACGCTATCCACCCCTTTTCAAACCAGGTATAAAAAAATAAAAATAAAAATAAAAATAAAGATGTCATGTGAGGGTGTTCTAGTAATTACACACTTCTATTAATGCAATGAAATGAAATGAATATGCTGCTTTTAGTTCGATTTCTCCTTTAAATAAAGTTTTCATTTTAAATATAAATAGAAAATTGTCCTTGAATTACTTAAATTTCTTCCCTTAAATTGACTCGAATGACCTTCCCACCAAAGTTGTGATGATCAAAATGTATGTTCTTATTTATCACGTGGTACCTTCTCCTTTTGTTGGCCATTTCTTTTTCCTTTTCTTTTGTCTTTTCTTTCTTCATGTCGTGCAAGTTGCGCATACTCTGTGACATGGGCAGCCTTGAATGGTCTCTTTAACTATGGATTGTTCTTGAGTTCCATACTCATTATCCCAAACCCGGAAGTGGGCGGCCCCCTAAGATTTGAACAGAGCTGAGGTACTTATAGTGCTAATTCTTACTGTGATTCCGAACATTCATTTCCTGACTGTATTGACCAAGTCAAGAGCTTGGATGGTTGGTTTGTTTTAAGATTATGGGAATATTTGGTGCTCTACCGCTGCTGCATACTTTGATATGGCTGTTTCTTAGTGGTTCGATCTGGTGCCAAAAGGCAGTTGTGGTAAATATTGGTGCGGTTTTTACTTTCAATTCGGTTATTGGTAGAGCAGCAAAGCCGGCGATGGAAGCAGCAATCGCCGACATAAATGCTGACCCCAACATCTTGAGTGGGACAAAGGTGAAGCTCCTGATGGAGGACTCTAACTGCAGCGACTTCTTGGGCTCTGTTGGGGGTACAATCTCTCTCTCTCTCTGTTTTTTTTTTGTTTCATTTGTGTAGCTGAGCTGCCTTGTGGCGGCTCCTGTTTTTCCTTCACCTATGTCTGGCTCTCTTTGTCTTTGGTTTCATCTATAAGGTCAACGGAGATGCTGTTCTTCTCCATGTCTAATTGAGGTGGAACTTTGATCCTAAAGCATGATTTTTCACAATTTTTTTTTGTGTGTTTCTGTAATCAGTACTCTCATTCAGAGTGGAGTCAAGATAAAGAAGTGGGCAAAGTATAAAATTTTGCTCACTCTCCCCTGGTATCGTTCATTCCAAGTTCAGAAGCTATTGTTTGAGTTGGACCATAGTTCTGCTCTATCTAAGAACTATGATTACATTGTGATTACCAGCCCTGGTATTTTGGGGCACCGTTGACTCTTAACTATAGTATAATATTTCATTAAAAGACTTCTGCTGGGAAGAACTTTTTACACCCTTATAAAGAACTTTTCATTCCCCTCTCTCTCTAACCAATAGGGATTTCACAAATCCACCCCCTTTTGGAGCTCAACGTCCTCGGTGGCACACCGCTTGGTGTCCATCCCTTTAGGACTCAGTCTCCTCGCTGGCACATCGCCCGGTGTTTGACTCGCTAGCAGATATTGTCCTTTTTGGACTTTTCCTTCCAAGCTTCCCCTTAAGGTTTTAAAA